CTTTTGAGTTGTAGCACCTCTCTAACTTGTTGCTCAATTTCTTCACTTCATTTTTGAGCTCATTGTTCTCCTTCAAAAGGTTAGTCTCACAAGACATAGAAGTAGAACAAGCATCTATATGTGAAGAGCATGGCATATCTAATAAATCATCACAAGAGGTGGATACATGCTTCTTGCCTACATCACAAGGGTTAGCAACAATATGTGATTGATCATTTGACCCATGTGATGAGCTCTCATTATTTTTAAGTTTCTTTGTAAATATTTTAATGAGAGAAGCTTGTTTTTCTAATAATTCATCATGAGATGCAAGTAGTGTCTCATGATTCAATTTAAGCTCATCAAGTGAAGATTTATAAGTATTAAGTAATTTCTTATGTTCTTCACAAGAGTTCTTTAGAAATGAGTTTTCATTTTTCTAATTTCAATGTTTTAACTTTCTCATTTTCTAAAGACATGGTCATGCTAGCAAGTCTACTAACAAGCTCATCATATGAATCAACATGATCAACCACATTATCATTTGATACCTTGGTGTCATCTTGTGACATGAAGCAATGTGGTGATGTAGATGGAGAGCTTGTAGTAGCATTATCATCATGGCTCGAGCATGAATCATCATCACCATCAAGTGTGCATGGGGTAGCAACATCACTTGCAACACTTGTGGCATCATCATCAACCTTGTCAAGTGAACTTGTAGTGGATTGATCATCATCATCCTCACTTGACAATGAGGTGGAGCAATCTTCCACAATCACCAAATTGTGGTTATGCTCAACACACTCATGTGTCTCCTTCTTGGGCTCATACTCCTTAAATTTACCATCATCCCATGTGGAGGAATCACCGAAGGTGTCCTTGATGGAGTCCCATATCTCACGAGCGATCCCCTTGTAGTTTACTTGCTTCATCAAATCAAAATGTAAAGCATCCAATAGAAAACAACAAGCATGTGCATCAAATTCATAGAGGACTCTTTGAGCTTTGGTTAGAGTTCTATGATCCAAGACACGGGTGAGACCACTAGTGACAACCCACTAAAATTTAGGTCCCTTTGCACGAAAATGATCAAACATGTGATTTTTCCAAAGTGCAAAGTTTGTGCCATCAAAAATGTGATTCTCACAACCATCTAGCCCATTAGGCGCCATCCTCTCGGGTCGGTGAAGACCACAAATGAGAGACCGGGCTCTGATACCACTTGAAGGGTCGAGATGGCGGACTAGAGGGGGGGTGAATAGTCTTTTCTAAAGTTAATCGCGTCGGCTAACCGATACAAATGTGGAATTAAAATAATCGGTCTAGCCAAGACTACACCCCTCCATATATGTTCACTAGAACCTTGCAAATATGCTAATTATGCAACAAAGGTGCCGGGCTAGCTAGAACTCACCTAATCAATTCTAGGAGCAAGGTCACACAAACCTATGCCACTAGTACTTTAAGCAAAGCGTGAGCTCCTACACATGCTAGTGAGCAAAAGCACAAAGCTAACTAAGCTCACTAGCAATGCTCAATAACAAGGCAACTGATGCCTAATTAGAGAGCGCAAATACTTAGCTACACAAACTAAGCAATGTGACTAACAAGGTTACTAAAACTAAATTAGCCACGCACGGGAGCTACTTCTATGCTACACAAGCAAGAAGGTAATTAGCAAGTTACACAAGCCATCTAATCATAAGAGCAACTACACAAGCTTAATATATATAAAAGTAATTGCAAGCTTGTGTAATGGGGATGCAAACCAACGGGAAGAACAAGGTTGACACGATGATTTTTCTCCCGAGGTTCACGTGTTTGCCAACACGCTAGTCCCCGTTGTGTCGACCGCTCACTTGGTGGTTCGGCGGCTAATTAGCATCACCCGCTAAGCCCGCACGTCGGGCGCCGCAAGAACCTACCCCTTGAGTGAGGGTAGCTCAATGACACGCTTTACTAAAGTTGCTCTTCGTGACTCCCGCGGGGCGAGCACAAGTGCCCCTCACAAGCACTTCTCCGGAGCACCGCACAAGCTTCTTGCGGGCTTCGACGGAGACCACCACCAAGCCGTCTAGGAGGTGGCAACCTCCAAGAATAACAAGCACCACAAGCTTGCAACTCGATCACTTAGTGCCACTCGATGCAACCTCATGATGCAATCGCACTAGAATCATCCACTCACACAATCGAATGATCACTATCAAGTATATGTGTGATGGAGGGCTCCCAAGCACTCACAAGCATGGACACTAAGTCCCCTGAGGTGCTCAGCACCAGCCATGGCCAAGGGCCATTTCTATTTATAGCCCCATGGGATAAACTAGCCGTTACCCATTCACTGGGTAAAAATCAGACCGACCAGACACTCCGGTCATGTTGACCAGACGCTGGACCTCAGCGTCCGGTCGTCTGCAGACGGCCACGTGTCCCGATTCCAACGGTCATTTGCCTTGACCGGACGTAGAATCAACAACTGACCGGACGCTGAGCCTCCAGCGTCCGGTCGTTTCTAGTAAGGTACCGACCTTGATCGGACGCGTCCGGTCACCTTCGATCAGACGCAGCCCCAGCGTCCGGTCACTCTTCAGTGACACTGCTTCGACCAACAATAGGACCGGACACTACCTCTAGCGTCTGGTCACCTCCAGAGCCAGCGTCCGGTCACTTGATCGACGCTGCACTCTGTCTGCCACCACTGACCGGACGCTGAGACTCAACGTCCGGTCACTACGTGACCAGAGTCCGGTCCACTCTGTGAGACCCTGTCTTTTCTGTCTAGGGTGCCGGTGGCACCGTCAGACTATCCGCATTCTACGGGCGGACACTCCGCCGGTGGAGTACAAACCTTTCTCGCCTCCATTCCATCGCCGAGTTGATCCTCATCAACTCCAACTTCATCTCCTTTGTAAATGTGCCAACACCACCAAGTATACACCACCATGTGTATGTGTGTTAGCATTTCATAATCATTTTCCAAAGGGTTAGCCACTCAACTTGCCACGCCACTCAATCCTAGCGATGATGCAAAGTTAGATCACTCAAGTGGCACTAGATGACCGATATGCAAACAAGTTTGCTCCTCTTGATAGTACGGCCATCTATCCTAAACCCGGTCATAAACTTCTCTACACACCTATGACCGGTGAAATAAAATGCCCTAGGTTATACCTTTACCTTGTGCATTCCATTCCATCTCCTATAATGTTGATGCAACTCATGCACCAACACGATCAACAATGATATGATCCACTTCATATCATCACGTGACTATATTGGTTCATTGATCTTGACTTCACTTGCTTTTCACCGTTGCCTTCGTCCATCGGCGCCAAGTCTTGCTCAAGCTTCACCGCCACGCGGACCATCACTCCAAAGCCTTCGACTTGCCCTTCATGCTTGCAACCGGTCCATCAAGCCAAGTCTTGTCTTGATCTTCTCCACCTTGATCACATGACTCAATGTCATGTCTTATGTGCAATAAGCTCCTTCATCATCACATGTGTGAGCTTTGCAACATCTCCAAGCTATTTTCACCTTCATGGCATATGTTGCTCACACACATGTACTTGTGGACTAATCACCTGTTTATCTCACATAAATACAATTAGTCCACCTAGGTTGTCACCCAATTACCAAAACCACATAGGGACCTTTCACGGTCTCGCTCGGCAGCGCCCGTTCGCGCCGACCATGCCTGCCACACGCCGCTGCGATGCTCGTCTGCGCCGCCGCCCTCGCGCACTGTCGCGCTGGAGGTCTGCTCGCGCACTGGGGAGCATCTTCGTTATTGAAACGTGCGGCTTACGTTCTTCGTCCGCCACGCTGACGCTGCCATGTCGCCTGGAGGCATGGGCGGACTCAACGGTGGGGCGGGGGTGGGGGGCTCGAGCCCCCTACCGATACCGGAGCCGTGGAGCCTCCTAGAGCCCCCTAAATTTTTAGGGCAAAGTTCTATTGTGTAGGTGTGGGTGAGAATTAAGATCGGAGGTACACGATGATGTTCTCGCGAGTTGGGCTGGCCAGCAAGGCAGCAATATCAATTCATTTGGCCCATAAAGTTAACTCCACTAGTCCAGGCCCAAGCAGCCCAAGGATAGCCTGCCCACGGATGAAGGCCCAAAAAAACCTATTCCCCATCCAACTTCCAGAGAGCATCATGAATCACCGGTTGCGTGCTTCTGCTTGACCTCTGGCGGCGGCGGCGGGAAGCGGGAGGAGCGGGCGGATCGTGTCGCGCTGCCGTCGCTTTCAAGGCGGCCGGGCGGCGGCGTCTTTGCTAGCGTCTTGCGGGCCCGGCGAGCGGCAAAGGCGTTGGCGTGGCAAGGTCCACAGCAGTGCGGTAGCGGCGGAGCGGGCGAAAGCAGCCCGCAGACAGACCGCCGGCGCCGGGGCAGCGGTGGCGGATGGAGTGGGTGTCCGCTGCTGGCTGGCCGCGGCGGCGGCGTCAGCGCACGCAAGCAAAAAAAGAAAGGAGCCAGGCGCCGGGCACTGGATCTGGATTGTAGCTTCTTTGTTGTTGCTTGCTTGCACGAGCACGGCCGGCGGTGGAGCCTCGGAGCAAAATGACGAAGAAGCGACTAGCAGAGCAATGTGATTTGTGAACCAAACTTAAATCCTTATTTGTCTTTGATTGTTTCATTGCTGAATTGAATATGTGATTGGAAACAGGGCTGATTGAAAATTTGGAATGTCAGATTTCAGAATGACGAAAAGAACTCTGCGCAATTACTTTTCAAGTTCTAGTGGTAGTGGTCCATCTCCATCAACTCCACACACCAATAATGAGCAGCGGGCTGGTAATGAGAGCACAACTCAACCAAAGAAACCTAGAGCGGGATGGGAGCCGTTACTCAGAAAAGTGAAAACATTCTGTGAGAAGAATGAGATTGAAGTGCCAGATATGGATAAGGAAATAAATGTTCTATCATGTTGAGATTTTTCTTGTTGCCATTGACGCCATCTTGACTGAGCTGAATCATCGGTTTAGTGAAATTAGTTCAGAGTTATTAGTATGCATGGCTTGTTTTAACCCAAGGAACAACTTCTCTAATTTTGATGTGGACAAACTTGTGAGGCTTGCTGAAATTTATGCCGAGGATTTTGATATTGGTGACCTTATTGTTTTGCCAAATCAACTTAGACAATTCATCAACCGTGCTAGAAGAACTTCAGATTTTGTTGGATGCACTGAACTTGGAAAAGTTGCTGAAATTATGGTCAAGAATAATATGCACACATCTTATAAATTGGTTTATCGTCTCATTGAGCTAACCTTGATACTACCTGTGGCAACGGCTTCAGTTGAGAGGATATTTTCAGCCATGTCCATTATAAAGATAGATTTGCGTAATAAAATGGGTGATGAATGGCTCAATGACTTGATGATATGCTATAACGAGAATGAGATATTTAGAAAGATTGATAATGAAAAGATCAAAAAGCGGTTTCAAGAGATGAAAAAACGCCATATGTTATTGCCTAAAAATTAGTGGTACACTCTATTCTCTTCTAAATTCATAATTTGGAGGTCCATATATGTTTGACTAATCAATTATGTCTATTTGTGTAGATTTCTACGTTTACAACTTGACAAGTTCAAGGGTCCATTTTCTATGTTTACAAGTTCGTGGATCGGACTGGCACAGGCCGACAAGTTAAAGTTCCGCCGACGTATTTCACTCTTGTGGGTACATTGGACTTGCCTTCGTCGGATCAGCCGAAGCCGAGTCCGCCGCCGTCGCCGCCGGCACCGCCGCACGGTTCTGAATGTTCGAATACAAGTCGAAGAAGAAAGCTACTTCCTCACGCCTCTCTTAACAGAAAATTACATGGGCTCTGGCAGGCCCAGTTGGAGCCACTCTGGGCCAGCGATTCTAGGATTGGGCTTCTTCACTCGCTTCTCCCTTGCCTCCGGCCCAGCTCGTTCATCTTCAGGGAGATTGGCGCCTTCAGACGTAGTCAGTCTTGTAACACTCCTTCCTTGAAAGACGGCTTGACCCAAGCCGGTGCACGGGGGAACTCCTGACGCAGTGCTTCTTCATCTTCCAAGGTGGACATCTCCGAAGGTGTACGGGACCAGTGAACGAGCACTTGCTGAATCATCTTGTTGTTGTGATAGCGTAGGCGACGGTCCAAAATCTCCCGAGGTACCTGTAGATTATCAGAGGCATCGGGACATACCGGCTGTGAGGATGAGACGACCCGCTTGAGTTGGAGACATGAAAAGTGGGATGTATCTTTGCTGAAGCTGGGAGTTGAGAAGAGTATAAGCCACTGAACCCACTTTGCCAATTATGGTGTAGGGCCCAAAATAACGAAATGCCAGCTTGTTTGCAGACCTGGTGGCAACAGATGATTGAATGTAGGGTTGCAATTTGAGATATACCTGATCACCCACAGAAAAACTGCGATCAGTGCGATGTTTGTCAGCAGATTGTTTCATCTTCTTCTGAGCCTGCAGTAAGTGCTGATGCAGGAGCTGTTGCATCAGAGATCGATCTTGTAGCCACTCATCCAGGTCAGGTACTTGGCAATTCTCAATATCCAATCCCAGTTGGCGTGGTTCATGACCATAGAGCACCACAAACGGTGTCTTGTTAAGAGCAGAATGATAAGAGGTGTTATACCAGAATTCTTCAAGTGATAACCAAGTAGACCATTTCTTGGGGCAATGCACAAAGCATCGTAAATAAGTTTCCAAACATTGATTTACTCGCTCGGTCTGACCGTCACTTTAAGGATGATATGCATAGCTCATTCTCAGATCAGTACCAGTTAGTTTGAACAATGTTTGCCAAATGGTACTAGTGAAAACTCTATCACGGTCAGAAATGATAGCTGAAGGAAGACCGTGCAACTTAAAGACCGAGTCCATATATTTGATGGCCACTTGCATTGCGGTGAATGGATGTGATAGTGGAATAAAGTGTGCATACTTTGAAAATTTATCCACCACAACAAGAATGCAGTTATAATGTTGGGACTAAGGATGAAAACGGTCGGAAACGGTCGAAAAACTCCTAAATTGTTTTTTACTTTTACATTTGAAATATGAAAACGAAAGCGAAAACGGTAAAACCGGACACGAAAACGAACGCGAACTTACGAATTATCGAGAATTTCGAAAACGAACCAATTCGACCGGATTTATGTCGAACACGGTCGATATACGAAAACTCAATACGGAATACCGACCCGTAGGCCAAGTGCATGACTAAATGCATACATGATCAAGTTCAAGTGCATATAATAATTAACAAGAGCATATTATAGAAACATGAACTCGAATCGAGTCAGAATAATTTTATTAATCTTTTTAGAATAGATGTTGTATTTTATTTTAAAGATTTATTCAGATTTTTCTTTTGAGTAATAAAGATTTATTCGGCTGATACAAAAAACTATCAATTGATTGACTTTGCAGGTGGGGGTTAAACCGATGAGCTTGATGGGCTATGGCCCATGTGGTCTATAAGAGAGGGCAGCTGTCCACCAATAGAAAGAACGCAGCTGCATGGTGAACAACTTGTAATTGGGTTGTATGACCTGTGCAGTTGGCCAAATTCGGTTTAAATTTTCAATTCGGAATATTTCAAATTAAAAGTAGAAAAGTAGAAAACGGTCGAAAAATGTCTAAACCGTTTTCTACTTTTACATTTGAAATACGAAACATCTGAAATGTGAAAACGAAAACGATAAAGTCGGACAAGAAAATGCGGATTCGATCGGACTAAATATAGAAAACGATACGGTTCGGTTCGGGATATTTCTGTTCCGTTTTCATCCTTAGTTGGGACTGAGGCAAACCTTCAATGAAGTCAAGAGAAACCACTTGCCAAGCACCTTCTGGAACTGGTAAAGGAGATAGAAGACCAGGGTATGGAACCCTTTCAGGTTTGGCTTGTTGACAAACTGAGCACTGGGACACAAATGTAGCGATAGATTGATTCAGCTTGGGCCAGGCAAAGAGTTTTTAACTCTGTTATAAGTGGCTTCGGCACCAGAATGCCCACCCATAGGACTTGTGTGTAGAGTAGATAAGATTTTGTGCTGAAGTTGATCCAATGAACCCAGCCAGATCCTATTTTTGTATCTGATAAGACCATTTTGTAATGAGAAATGGCCTTGAGGAGACGATAGTGAAAGTGTCTGAAAAAGTTCAGTTAACTGAGGATCTGATGTATAAGCATCTTGAAGTTCAGTGACCCACACAGGTTGTACAACTGACACTGCTGCTGTACACAAGGTATCTTGATGAGAAGCTCTTGACAGTGCATCAGCTACTCGGTTTTCAGCTCCCTTTTTATACTGCAGTATGAAATTGAGGCCCATCAACTTAGTTAATGCCTTTTGTTGCCCAGGTGATGTAACTCTTTGAGCATCCAAATGAATTAAGCTCCTGTGGTCAGTTTTGAGGATAAACTCAGAATGTTGCAAATAAGATCTCCAGTGATCAACTGCAATTAGAATAGCTAAACATTCTTTATCATAGGTTGAAAGGCCTTGAGATTTTGGGCTGAGTGCCTTGCTGACATAGGCAACAGGAGGTCCATCTTGCTGTAACACAGCTCCCACTCCCTTATCAGATGCATCTGTTTCAACTACAAATGGCTTTGCAAAATTGGGTAGTGCAAGAACTGGTGCTGTCACTAAGGCATGTTTAAGTGCATCAAAAGTGTCTTGAGTTTCAGATGTCCAAGTGAAAAGAACACCCTTTTTGAGCAGATTGGTAAGAGGTTTATTGTTAACGGTCACTAACATCAATTATAAACCGTCAACATAACCTGCATTTATACTTAATTCCATCACCAAACTTAGGTATAGGGGTTTAAACTAATAAATTCCACGAGTTTTGGTGAATTTGTGTTTTCAGCAGGGTTTAATCAGAAACCCGCCAAGGAGGACCTAATCATCAAAGGAAATCACGGAATTCTGCCGCGGTATCAACGTAGGAACACTCTAGAAGGGTCCAGAAGGCGAATCACCGAAGCGGGGCTCGACCCACTGCCATGTGGGGCTGGTCATCCTGTAGGTGGGGCCGCCCCGCCCCTGTGGGCCCCACCTACCAGCCTCCTTCGAATGCCGAGTCCCCACCATTTGAAGGATTGCATCTAAGCCGTTGCTTAAGTCGGTTTGATCTAAGGGCTCACGTTGGACCCTCAGGGCTATATATACCAGGCCCTGCCCCCCTCCCTCAGCAGATCCTGAAACCCTAATTCATATCTCTCCTTCAAATCAACACCCACCAGGAGAATTAGGTCCAGAGCTCTCCAATGTAGTAGATTAGTAGCTCGGGAGTGAGGGTCGAGTTGGGCTCATGCTCAAGTTTCGGATCTAGTCTTGGAGGCTCGGCGAAGCCTTGTATCTTGACTTCTACATCTTGTAAAACTTATTATTAATTTATAGTATTCTTATCTACATGGCTATGCTTACTTTGAATATATATCTTGTTTAGTTAAGAGTATCATTGCTTTTGTGTGCGGGTTCATAGAGCGCTTATCTTGCTATAGTTTATCGATTGGGCTAAGTAGCCGAGTCTCATGTAAGCATGGTGCTTATACGATACTCTGCTTGTGAGTACACCCTGTTCTCTGGTTGTGTGGTAGCTGTGAGTACACCTTGTTCTCTGGTTGTGTGGTAGCAGCGGGAGGTGACAACCCCGTCTATCCTTTGTAGTCCACTCCGAATTGAGCAGGTTCTTAAATTGTAGGACCGTAGTCGTGTCAGTAGAGTTATTTATTGTAGGTGCTCTACCGTCTAAGCGGTGTCCCGAAGTGCACAAGAGTAGAATTAATTTTAGCAATAGTTGGGTATATATATACTTTGATCCTATAATAAGAATATCATAGGAATCTATCTCACCCGTTGTTCTCCCGAGTTGACTAGTTTACATTATCTTAGTGACCTATCCTGAATGTCATTATACTTAATTCTTATCATTACCTTTACCCCTTGCTTAACCATCAAGGTGAGGTGAGACCTCGTAAACTCACAATTCCTCTTTTCATCAACCACATCATATAAGCAAATTATAAAGACCATAAGCATCACAAAGGTACAACGTACGGTACAGTTTTCACAGAAAGCCAGCATGCAGTTGGTAATTGGCATGACAAATAATGTAGAAACTTTACGAGTAGCAACAAAGGATATAACAATGCAACTTGTAAAAGATTCCACCGAGCAAGCACTGGCTTATTAGTTCACCATTAGCCAGTGGGCATCGTTTCGAATTGGAAACAAAATAACTTGAACAAGGAGCAGCTGCAGGGAACGCACAACAAAGCAAGTTGATTGTTCTCAACTCGCAGAAACAGTAGCTTCAGATAGCGGCATCGACATTGTACCCTGAAGCAACCAAAAATAGTGGACAATAACCGGTCATGAGAGTTAGAGCACTTGCAGTCGAGATCTCCGGCTCCCATTGCTACCATCTTCAAGCACCTCTTGCCGATCTCTCACATCTCTGTAGTATGCTAGTAGCTTCTTC